AATGTCCAAAGTCTTGCCCGAAATGCTGCGCAAAATCGGATTATGACCTGCTGGAAGCAATAGATAGTCTGATGGCAACAAACCTGGAGTTGACTTCAAAGGACAGAGTTTGAACCCAGGGTTCGAACACACACAGGTTCTGGAACCCTCGGGAACTCTATTTTCCAACCCAGGTTCGGGAAACTCCATGTTCGAACCCGGATTCTGAACTTCCCCTCCAGAGTTTGAACCTAAGGAGTGGCAGAAGTAGCAGCAGTCGTCGCACAGTTGTGCTTGTGGTTAAACATTCCTCGTCGTCGTACCAGTAGCAGTCGCAGTTCTTGTGGTCGTTGTCGCAGTCGTAGAAGTCCCAGTCGTAGTAGTGGTAGTAGTAGTAGTAGAAGTTGTAGCAGTAGTAGAACTCGTAGTAGTACTTGTAGTCCTAGTCGTAGTACTACTACTACTACTACTACTACCACCTAGTAGTAGTAGCAGTAGTAGTAGTAGTAGTGGTAGTAGTAATATTCATCGGCCAAGGCGGACGCCAAGAAGCGACATGTCCAGGCGGCACATGCAGCCAAATTTATACATGACTTGTGTAAGCACTTTCCATCACTGTAAAACGCAAACTATTAGCACCCAGATCGTGTTGGCGATCCTGCTGTATGGCTCGGAATTCGCAGATGTATTTCCGATCACACCTCACAAAGTTAAGCAAAAGAGATTATAAGGTCCCAAGACAAATTTTTGACATCAAAAGCTCCTTCTACCACATGTTGGATCCCTCCGATGCAGATTGTTCCAACGAATACATGTCCCAGTCAGCATGTTCATACCCTCCTAACGCAACAGATCCGTGCTTTCCGAATGTCATATCAAGGCCACATCCTTCGGCACGCCGAATCGCTTGAACCTATGTCTACATTCAAAAAGTACATGCAGACCGTAAGTCGTAAATTACATAAAAACTTTGCCTCTGACAAAAACTTTTGACCAGTAATTCCTTTGTACCAATGGCCCACGGAATTCACCACGACATATACCACCATCCTACGGCCAGAGCTGGCGGCGGAAAAATTCCAGATATTTTGGTAACACAGACCTGTAGAGCACCTTGAGCCACCGAATTCACAATAGGAAAGCTTGGACTAATTTAGAGGTTTTACGTTGACCAGCTGAAAGGGCTGCTGACGAGTAATCTCACTTGTGGACTTGCTCTGCGCGACAGACGGAGAGGGCCACTCCTTCTTTTCCAAACGAGGCGGACCGCGTCCACGACCAGCGATCGAATGGGATGCTGAGGGGTTGGACTCTGCAACTGTCGTGCGCAAAAAGCCATGCTGAGCTAAGAACGCGACGCCGGCCGGGGTGGTGTGGGAAGTAATTATTTTCCATGTTCGCAAAGTACACGACCCACTTGTGGCAACGGATTCGATTGTATGGACCGGGGCATGTTTCTATCACTTGCGCAGCCAAAGAAAATCGTCTATTGGACACAGCGTGTTCACAATGCCCGCGAGTTGTAATAGCGCCCCGAAGTCCAAAGTTGACAAACCCATGAAATCCACAGGGATCTGAGGGAGGCCTCGAATCAGTGTGCGCGGATACCAGCCACAGGCAACTTTTTCGACGGTGATTTGATTGAAGCTGCCGTTGCCATGAACACACGGACAGTCATCATGCTTGTCATAAATGGGCATAAAATTTTACCTGTCTCGTCTGGCATATTCCCTGATTGGGTGGCGGCGATGATTTCGAAGAGATGTCGGCAGGGTCATTGGATGTGTGTTTCCCATGTCATTTTCTTTCTTGAATTTCGTTGTTCAGAAACAGGCGCTGGCCACCGGTCCACTTTTGTTCAAGGTGATGTCCACTGCTTCCTGCCGTTGCAGGCCTTCGTTTTATGACTCCTGTAAGTTCACGTGACATACACACTGAAGTCGCTGCACGTGATTCGAGCTGATGCCGGGTTCTGTTGGAGGATCGCGTGGAACACCAAGAAGAATCAGCAATGAAGAAGGTGCACCTGTGTGCATGTTTGCAGGCAGTTATGAACAGTTCATGTCCACAGCTTCAGATGCAAGCATGGCAACTACTGCGTTTCACTGTCCAGATTGGTGCTTTGTTTGCACAGCTGCTGGTTTCGACAAGTTCAACGCTGGTTGACGGCTCATGATTATGTGGTTCCCGGCCGTGTTTCCTGTTTCTCCCGCAGTGCTGGCAAATCTCAGGTCTCCAGAGGCGTAGTGAAGTTTGGACCCGGGAATTGTGTGCGCCGTTCCAATGAATCAAGGTCATGACTCTTTAGTCACAAAGTACAGCTCACGACAGGTATCTGCGTGGGTCGGGGAGGCTTCGCATTGCGTTGCATGGGCCTTAGCTCGTTTCGGCAAGCGGAGTGATCAAACGAGAACACAATCAGCAAAGGTACGCACGGCCTGTGGGGCCCAGCCAGCTTTTGCAGCATATGCTGGCATCTGAGCCTATTTTTTCAAAGTCTCGTGAGTCTCGTCGTGTCCGATTTTTTCGCATTGCTGAGGCAATCCGTGTCGTTTGTGTTGACGAGGCCAGCATTCCTTCGCACTGTGTTTGAGAGTTGTCTCACCTGGATATGTGCGTGGCATGCGAAACTGATGCTTGCATGGGTGTTGAGCAGGATTCAAAATTCTTGTTGTAGCATTGCAGCCGGCGGGGTCTGGCTTCGTGGCAGGATGGTGGCAGAGTGCTACACACGTTCCAGCAGGGCGGTTTCGATACAGAGGCCAGAACTTGATCTAGCATTTCCGGCTTCGTTGACAGCACAACAATGCGTACTAAGCCGCTAAGCTTTGAGCAGGAGACCTTCGACACAAACATCAAATGCCACCGGGTTGAAACTGGTGACTCGGTCCAGGCACCAGGGTTCTTCATGGTGAGCAGTAGAATTTTGACATGCTGTGCAGGTACCCCAGTTGTCTGTAGCAGCGACCAGCAAAGGGACTGCAGGCCGGGTTTGTCCTTATCAGCTGCAGAGACATGCTTCTTTGTGCCTTGATGTGCCTTGTGTGGAATTTTGGACTTCGGTTCAGTGCGATGTGGAACTCAGCCAAGGCTCTGCTGCAGGAGCCCAGCACTGGACCGCTGCCTTGCACTCAGCGCCCTGTTGGGCATTTCAACATCGTTTGTAAGTGATTGGTCCTCGTCAGCCCTCGTACGTTCCCGCGAAAAGCTCGCAATCACAGGCAATCCAGAAATGTCACCACATGCACGTGCGTCCTGCATGCTTGTGCATATCAAGAACTGTCGGAGAAATCGCCTGTGCAGAGTCGTTCGTGATACAAAGATGCTGCCTTTCCAAAACACGACGCGGGGGGCTGTTTGGTTTGGCGGGTTCACGGGTCCCGATTCTGCTGTTATTCCTTCAGATGGGATCATGAAGTCTTGTGCTGCAGAGGATACGAGGTATATACTGTGCAGCCCACTGTAGGATGTCGATCTGGTCGTCACAGAAGGCCAGCTAAAACAACGATTCTGCCTGACAGTTCTGCTGAGGCCGCGGGTGCTGCAGCAAATGAAGTCGCTTGGCAGTTGCTCATGGCAGATACATGCGGTCAACCCCTTTCTGATCCCGTGCATCTGAAGGCTGCCTCACAACACCTGAGCAAGCTGGAGAGCCAGGTGTGACCATAGTTCAGCTCGTGCTGATATGTCCGTGAAGTGGGGCAAAAAACATGTTCATAGGGCTTTCGCTCTAGTAGCTCTGGATGCAGGTGCAGTTGCTGACAAGCAATGAGATTGAGATGAAGCGTGAAATCGAGGAGCTGCAGGCGAGGCTCAATGGATCCGAATCCCGGGCGCTCCGTGGAAGAACAGAGGAAGGATCGCGCAGCAACACACAAGCCTTGGACAGCGTCGCAGCCACCCTCGCTGCTGTGAGTGCTCCGAATCCGCAGAGCCAGCAGAACCTCGCTGGTCACGCACACCCTGCGAAACCGGCGCCGTCTGCGATGCAGCCCGCAGCGCTTGCATCGCGTGTACACATCACAGCGGCAAGCCCCAGCACTGCCAAGCCAATAGCAGCTCCGTCCCCGCCTCAACGCAAGGCAGTGCAGGTCTTTGTCGTTTAGTGCATCTGGCAGCGGTGCTGAAGGGCCACAGTGGCGGCATTCGCCGTACAAGGCTTGCACAGCCCGTGCTTTCGATGGACATTGCTTTGCAGTTTGAGCTGCATATTGGAATTGCCGGAGCACCTGCTTGAGACAGCGGTCTCGAGCTTGTGCTCATTGGCATGTCGATCCGTTACGTTTCGGCAAAGAGAAACTTCCGGATTCGATTGTGGATGTGACAAGAAACTTTTTGGGCAGCTGCCACTTTTGCCTCGCTGCAGATCCGACAATAGCAGCATCTGCAGAGAACGCGGCTCAGGAGGCGGAGAAGGCTTGGCTTCACGTGTCTTAGTGGGGCCATGAGCTGTTGATGGCAACTCACAAGGCGGCAGCGGAGGCAGAGTTGGAAGCACAAGGTCGCACGCTGAAGAAGCAGCTCCGGGTCTGGAAGCAGGATTTGCATTGGAATCACCTTCTTGCAAGCATTGTGGCGCCTAGGTGCGCAGTCTCTGGCGCCGCTGCCACAGCGAAGCAGCGAAGCATAGAATCTAGCAGCCATCGATGTTGCATCAAGGCCGGTTAAGCTGACGGGCAGCGGTGCAAAGGAAGACTTGGAGGCTTGATATCGACAGCAGATCATCTAGGAGAAATAGGCCAGCTGGCGAGTGAAAGTCCACTTGTCCGCTACCAGCAACGACTTGCCATGTGCTTGACAGGATGAGAAGCTCGTGAGTCTCATGGACGATGGGGACACAGGCAACCGTTGTTGCGAGCATCGTGTCTGTGTAATGTGCAGACAATATGTACGGCTGCAAGGCGACGATGCGCCATGAGCTTATCAGTTTGCCTCCTGTGCCAATGTAGCCGACGCTTACATTGCAGAAGTGTCCGAGGTAGGCATGCCGCCGTGATAATAGTCTGGAATAGTCGAGATTGCCTAGTTGTGAAGTGTTTCGACAAAGGAGCCCGATCGGAAGAACAAGTTGCGCAGATATCATGAAGTACGTCATTGCGATGCATTGAGCATTCTCGGTATAAGTTTCACTGCTGTAATGCTCCGCAACATTTAGCTTGAAATTGGAGTTGCTCGATTGCCGGACTCGACAGGAAGGACAGCTTCCAGCATCTTGCAGACATGGGAAACGGTGCTTCTGCTGCCGCGGGCTTGGCCGCAGCTGCAGGCAAGATGGATGAAAAGGAGCTGAAAGACGTCGTGGCAGCTTTGGACAAGGACACGGCCGACAAGCTTCGTAAAGCCCTTGGCGCTGGTGAGGAGTCGAAACAGACTTTGCCAGAGCACATGAAATGTGCCATTTGGCTTTGGGATGCTGCGTTGACAAAACAAGAGCTCGGCAAGTGTGACCTCGAAGGCGGCATCCCTGACATCACCGGCAAGGACCTTCTGATGGGCAGTGCAAAATTCGAGAAGACCTCGGACCAGGAGAAGGTGGACAGCATGGTTAAGAAAGTTTGCCTTCAGTTCTTCCAAGACCAGTGTGCTGCGGAGAAGCCATATGAGCCGCCGGCTGACTTGAAGAGGCATTGTGCTTACCTGTGGGATATAGCTGCCGTAGAGGAGTTCCTTGGCGAGATTAAAATCAAATCAGCAGCAATGGGTGGCAAAATGATGCTGACTGATGGGCAAGTCAATTTCACTTCCTCCGAACAGGAGAAAGTAAAGGATGTGCTTGGGAGGGTTGGCCGCATGTTCATGCAAGATGTGGCAGCCTCTCAGTGATGTTTCATCCGGGCCCACATAACGTGAGCCAAGTTTCATCTTTGAAAGCAGATGCCCTGCGTGCCTGTCCAGCGCAGACTGAGAGCATGTAATTCAACCTTGAACCGAAGGCAGGATCTGCTCTAAGCATGTGCCGTCTGAACATCCCAAAAGGGCCAGCTCATGTCATGTTTTGGTCTAGTGTAGTGCCTGCTCATCCAACTGAGGCATCTGCGAACTCGCAGCCATTTGTTGCCAAGAAGACATTTGCAAAACGAAATACGGTTCACTCAACCATCCGATCGCTGTTCCCATGAAATGACACGCAGTCCAAGAGTTGCAGGTGTTCTGTACAACCCGGGTCTGGCGAGCATTCACATGGATGCTGCCCTCCGTTGGTTGGATGATGACACCGCTGTTCGATCATGGCTGGATTGCTCTGAGCGCAATCTACCTGAGCTGCTGAAGTCTGGTGGCGGTTTCGCGCCTCGGCCAGATCAAAGTTTTAGGTCTGGCGAAAGAAAACCCATCTGATGTGACATGCAGGCAAAAATCCGTGGTTTCTTGCCGGAGAATGTTGCAGAGGCCGTTTGCACGTCCTTGCGCGGCCTGCGTAGCTGGGAACGAGCTGGTGAGGGTGGCTGCGACGATCTCGTGACTTGCCTGTAAATTTAGAAACAAGCGGTGCAGGCGCAGAACAGCTTCGCCACAACCTCGATTGATTGTAAGGGGCAAGCCTCCAAGGCCGTAAACCCCGTCTTCAGGAATACGAAGATCGTGTACGGCACCGTTTCTGGATAGCAGATGTGGAAGGCGACGAGATTCTGCTCGGCGCTGCACGCGTGTTGGCAAGGCCGTCGGACAAATCCAGGTTAAGACATGCTCCATGCATGCACGAACCAGCTGCAACAAGGTTCGACTGCCACAGGCTATTTGTTTGACTTTCCCTGTTACAGCTGTTGTCTCAGAAATCGTAGAGCGACCTTGGATGCTCTGGGGTGCGAAGCATGTTTGGAGGCTTCTTCCAGACACTTTGCCGAACTTCTCGGCTGCACGTTACGACGGCGCGGATCACATTGCTGCACATGATGATCTGGTGCCAGAAGCTTATACTACTGAGGAGGTCAGCCAGGCCAGACTCCAGATTGCATCGTTGCCTGTTTTGTCTATTGTGCTGCTGATAACAACCGCCTGTCAGGTGCGACAGGCCTTTGGAAGCAGCAGTCTGCAAAGCGCAGTTGAAGTGTGGAAGAACTGGAAAGATTCAGAAAAGCAACATGCCTCACAGTTGGAGGCCTCGCTTTGGGACCCAGGTTTGTTAAGATGCGCAAAAGATGTCTCCTGTGCCCTGTGCGTCCATGCAGGCAGCCTTGCAGAGTGAAGACTTGGCGGCAGTACGTCAAGCAGTGGCCGCAGGAGCGAAGGCTTCAGAATCGGTGCCATATCGGCGATGGGTAGCAGCTGCGTACTACTTGAACAAGGACTGGTGTGCTAAACAGTGCTTCGCGCGTCAAGGCATCGCATTGGCGAGGACTGGGAGGCATCCTTCGGCGGCCAGTTTACAGATCTGTCGAACCCGAGCTGCTCGGGCCAGAAGTCGCCGCAAAGCAAAGCTGTCAACTTGCCGAGTCTGTTGAGGCATGCCTTCTCATCACGTGCCAGAATTCAACACGCTGGTGGTTTTCGAAGTTCCCCGACTCCACAGTGTGGAAGCCGTACATGGCACCCGTGCTCGATACTCATTGTTCGGCTGGTGGCTCCTGGAAGACACACAGAGGCATGGATCACACGTCTCAGGACTTGTTGTTTTGTGTCGTTACCTTCCGACCTGGTTGCCAGCAGGTGCAGAAAGAGGACCAAGCGGAAGCTCGTCTCTAGTTCCAGCCGTCCAAGAAAGGCGAAGAACGCTTCTCTATAGCAGACCTCCTGACTTCTCCCGTTCGTGTGAATGCGGCGATCTCCAACTTGCCTTTAGATGGAGCTCCAGGATGTCTCCGCATCAGCAGCTTGCAATGTGCCCACTCGCTTAAGATTGAAGAGCGACGCAGCTTCTTTGGTGTTCATTCATGGAAGTTCATGCAGAGAAACAGCCCACAGCATTGTTGGGGCAATGATTGTTCAGCATGTCCTAGTGACACGAGCGCGGACCAAGTAGCAGTGATTTGTCAGCGTGAGAGATCCAGATTCGGAGGTGTTCCATGCCATCTGTTGTAAAAACCTTTCGGCGGCGATGCTGACCCGCCAGTGCGGGCGGTTGTCATGGTCCGGCTGCTGACACTTCTTCTTTGTTGTGCATATGTTGAGGCCTCGTGGTTGCGAGCAGGGTGGTCGCTAAGGAAGAGATTCAAACGAGTGCCTTAGTGTTGTGCTCCAACTTGCAGTCGCCCTATTGCTTCCCGGTTCGAAAGCCACTGACACCCAGGGGGCCCTTCAGGTCTTTCGGTTGGTGGGGTGCTTGAGTTTAGCTTATTCCAAGTTGATAGCCTCTTACTTTCAAGGATTGACCTCTCCAGGCTTTCATAGTCATGGCTTGATGACTCAGAGTCTTACCTGCCATCGAAGCTAGCTGTAGAATTTCTAGCTTTATTTATGCTTGCTGTTTGAAGCCAGCCGGTTCTAAGCGCCTGTCATCGCCAGTAAAGTTATCCATCACATCGTACGTTGTGTTTCGTGAAGGAAAGTTCTCCCAAATATGTGAAGCATATGTGCTAGTGCAGAGACGTCGATGACTGTGATAGATGGTCACTGTGAGTTTGAGCTCTGCTGAGGTGGCCGAAGCACAGCAGCGTTCTCTCAGCACAGGGACACTGTCCTTCGCCCAGGCTGATTGCTTGAAGTGTATTAGATCCTTGGACGTGGCTTGCCTTTCCGTGCTGGCAGGTGTTACCCGGCAGTGTGCTTGTCGGCGAAACTCATTTACTTCAAGTGCGGCTCAGCTGAACTTTAGATGAACGGGGGCCATCCTCATGATGGACCCGCTTGCCCACAAGTCTCTGTGCAGTACAGCAGCATCTGCTTGGTATACGGTAAGTAGACCAACCACCGCAGCAGCGGTCGCGGATGCTTCAGCCCGAGGGACCCGTCATGTGAGGAGTAGCCCCAAGCAGGGTGCAGTGTGATCGGTGCTCTTCCATGCAGCGCACGAGGAAGGAGTGCATCCTCTCACCGGATGGCGAAAACGGCTAGGATCTTGAAATGCCTGCGAGAACTGTTGCCATCGCACTCTGGAGAGTCGCCTTCTGGAATGCTTCTGCTTCTAGTCTATAACGCCAGCCGCCGAGAATCGCACATATCTGCAGAATACAAGCCGGGGCATGCAACTAGCAGTCCTATTGGAGCCATGCAGAAAGAGAATCAGTGGGTAGTGTGTGCAGCCATTGGGAGCTTGCCTCGTGCTGGCAAATTAGTAACTTGGTGTTCAAGCCCAGGTTTTTCACTGCGGGACAGACGGTCAACGATGCAACAGTTGAGGTTGAGGCGCGTCACAGCGGCAATGCAGACGTGAGACATTCCAGACTCCAGACTATCAGCAGCTGTCGAGAATAGTCGAGATATCTTGTGGGTGTGCACGCTGGACTTTAGGCGCCGCCTGGCTTTGCCTTCAGCCCCAGCTGCACCGCCGAAGAACTGCCGGAGACCATTTACAGGACGCTTTGCATTGCTGTGACTGCACTGTGGGCTCATATCCCAAGCAGGAATGGAGAGACACCGGACTCGGTCGTCATCGAGAGATTTGCCATTGTCCAGGTCGGGCCATCGACTTTGCAGTGTCTATGGGCTGTGTGGGTTGGTGTGTGTCCAGACGACAGCAGTGATGTGGCATGTCTGTCGGCAACGGGTTCAAATCATGGAAGCCCATGATCGGAGGTTCATGGACCATGTTTTCGCATTGACGTCCCTGTGTAGTTGGCTTGAAAGCATCCCTGCTCTACATCCACTGAGGCCCAACCGTCCTAACTACACCGATGCATGTGCTGAGCTGGTCTCGAGCTGGCAACATGTAATCGCTACCTCCAGTATGTAGCAGTTTTTCCCAACATCAAGTTTTGGTGAGCCGAAAGCGTATATGTTCGATAACGGCAGCCGGCATGTCGAACAAGGATTCGCAGGCACGGTGCTTTTGCATGCTTTTGCCTTGGAGATGCGAGCCAATTACCCCATCCTGCGCTCCGTTGGCAATGAGTTAGCCTGCAACCTGCTCAAGAGAGAGATGATGGCCTCAATACGAGATGAGAATGTTGTAGACTCATGCGTTCTCTCGTATGGATCCTGGAAGAGACACTGTGGTTTTCACGATAGTGAATGGGGCCTACACTCGCAAGCCTCTGAATCACCGCCTCTTCGTCAAGCCACAAATTGAAGCGATCCGAAACGGTGGTGTGCGGATCCAGAGGGAGCCTGCTCTTAAGCCGGGGGAAAGCAGGGTTCTTTTTTCGGAAGACGAGCTGGTGGGTAAGTTAAAACATGACAGAGGATCGCGGCTTGCTTCGGATGTCTTTATGCCTGTGCTCGTGCGCTGAGTTCGTAACAGAGCTTGACGAAGCGAAAATTCGGTGAGAGAGGTTCGCTGGACTGCGGCGCTGCAGTCCTGCCCACTTGTGGCAATCCTTCGCGGTGTTGCGCCGACAGAGGCAGCACATGTCGGTAAGGCTCTTGCAGAAAGCGGATTGCTGCTTGTCGTGATTTTGTTCCGTCTGTTCGTCGTTGCATGGTCGGCTTACCACATTTTGGAATGACACTTTGTGCCTTTGCAGTTTGCAGCAGCCGACATCCCAGGACAATCCTGGAAGTTCCCTTGAACTCGCCGCAGGACAGACTCCACTTTCATCTTGTTGCGGGCCTCTTCAGTATCGCTAGGACGTTGCAATGTGTGGTCAGCACGGGTTGACGCCTTCTTGATAACTGCTCTGCAGTCCAGTTTGGCTAGACAATGCGGCGTCTGCGGGCAAGACGTGTGGAGGGGTTGTGAAATTAGAGATGCAGTGCTGTTTTCCCGGCGCGAGAGGCTCTGCAAAGCATTGCACTTCTCGTCCAACATCTACCGAATGCCATCGTCGGTGCCGGCACTGTCCTGAGCGCTAAAGAGGCAGGCTGCCCAAAGCTTGGTTCGTAGGCCAACGCAGAGTCTGGAAATCAGCATCACAGGTAGATGAAGTTCACGCTGTGGGTGGCAAGCTCATTGTCAGTCCGAACACGGACCCGATCGTGATCCGGAGGACCAAGGAGACTGGACGTTCGTTTCGTTGTCGGCCGGGAGGATCGCGTTTTTCCAACCCTCAATCCACCCACCGAGCAGCAGTCCACGAGCACAGCACAGGCGGTATTCTCGACTGGGTTCGGCCAAAAGGCATGCCGCGCAACAGTTTGGCTAGCATGTGAGCCTTGTGCCAGTTCTGGCGGCTGTTGCTCTTGCTGCGTGCAGTATGAACACGTCGGGCAAAAACAGATCAGTTGCTGGAACAGGAGCTTGGTCTCATCAGCTTTCCAGGTGTTTGCACGCCTACGGAAGCCTTCGCAGCTATACGAGCTGGTGCAGATGCACTGAAGGCAACCTGTGCTGACTTCTCAGTGCAAAGTTTGTCCTTTGGTGTATAAGGGGATGCACAGGCCTTTCCCGGAGAGCAACTTCCGCCCAACATCATCAAAGCGTGGAGAGCAGTTCTGCCAAAAACTACATGTCTTATGCCTGTTGGATGCTCGGTGGCATGTGTCGTACATCGATTTCAGCTTGATGCGGTACGTACGATTTATCCGTCGTTTCAAGGAGGAGTGTCCACCGAAAACATGGCAGCATACCTCGAGGCAGCTTGCAGAGTGCAGCGGTTGGAAATTCCACACTTTTGCACCGATGTGCAGGCTGGTGCGAGTGGTTTCGGAGTTGGCACCGCCCTGTACCAAGCCGGTGACACGGCAGACACTTGCCGCAAGAAGGCCGGATGCAAGATGCAGTGCCTAACAACTTCCCTGACTGTCACAAGCAGGCGCAGGCTTTTGTTCGCAAGTATCGGGAGCTGGCCAAAGATGCTGCTGGTGACGTGGATCCTCCAGCAAAGCGGCCAAGAGGCGCGACGACCACCTCATTCTCATTTCATGTGAAGCTGCCTGGATCCGAGATTCGTCTTTGTTTGTGGGTGCCTCTCCTGGCGGCACTTTGCGAAGCTGTACAAGTCAGGTCTCGTTCTCACGAAGACGAGAAGTGGGGCTTCTTCTGGGAACCCGAGGTGCTGGAGTCACAGTCTAGTTGCAAACAGCTTCATACACTGCCACTGCTTCGTCCTAGATCCTGAAGCAAACCAACCGCCGTGTTCTCCGCAGCGTTGTCGTGCGGGTCTCAGATCGACGGGATCTCAGCAACGTCTCCAAAGCAACAACGAGATGTGATTTGCTTTGAGGCTGCGCCTGGGAGCCCTTTTGACATGTGGAACCAGGAGAACCCGCACCTGGCGGCAGTCGAGGGTGACGAGCTGGTCCAGGTGTTGAGACTGAAAACATATTTCTTTGCAATCCCGGTGGCTGAGAGCATTCTGAACGCAGTAAGATTCAAGAAGTCTGTCTGCCCAGTGTGTTTATTTGCCACCTTCTGGCGCCAAGGTGAATGAAGGAGGCAAATCTGCTCCTGATATCGCACGGGAGCTCAAGCTCGGAACTCAAAGCGCGGTCATGTGATTTTGGGTCAACGGTGCAGGGTTTCGACAGGCTTTTGCCATATTATTTCGACTCATTTGGCTTGATTCCTGGCTCAGTGGCTTGTGGTGTCCGTCTAGGTGTGACGCACTTCAGAGATTGAATTGCACAGAAGAGTGCCCCTGCTTCCCTGCATCTTGTCGTCAGCTGCGCGAGTGAGGAACCTGGAAGCTGTTTGTGAGTTTGTTCGCGAGCGGGACTCGGTTTTTGCAAGAGCTCCGATGCTTCGACAGCTGGCCGCAGTGGTTTGGATCAGGTCAAGCCGACTGCGGCCAGGCCCCAGGTCCAGAACACCTACCAGAGGAGAAGCCACATGGAACAAACTTTTTGGGTACTTTTTTCCTCCTAGAAGTCAAGTCAAAGAAGCATTGGGAAGCACTTGTGATGCACAACTTTTCTTTGCACTGAGGTTGAGAGGTGCTGGTGGCGCAAGACGTGTGATGTCTGAGGAAGAAAAGGGCCTCTGCAACGGCACTGTCGGCTTGTGAATAGGTAGGCCTTGCTTCGACAAGTTCTTTTTGCAGGGATGCTTTTCCCTCGCCTCCCCACCCAGAGTGGCGGCCTCGGATGCATTGCCATTGGAGCATTCAAAGGTACCGGATTCGGCCAAGCGCTGTGGAGTGCCGCAACGGATGTTTGCTGTTGGATCAGAGGTGCATGTGCTGCTTGGGCGCCCGATTCAGCAGGCTGGGTAATTTCAAAGCAGTGCTGGCAAAAGTAGGAATGAATGTGCGAGAATGAATCAGGGAGTCTCGTACGCTTTTGGCATCATGGTGCAGAACCCCTCGAGCCAGAGCTCGCAGGAGGACACGTTGCTGTCTACTGCGCATGTTGGCAAGCCATGTGGCAAGCCCGCAGAGCCTTCTTCAACAGCAAAAACGGGCGGGACGCTTTGACCAAGTTGGGAATGAGAAAATGCTGGAACTTGAACCCAGGGATGGTAACAGGAAACTTTGTTTCAGGAACTGGCTCGAAACTGTTTCAGAAACTAGGCGCGCTGTATCAGGAACTGGGGGGAGGCCTGTAACAGCGACCGGGGGGGGCTGTAAGTGGAACTGCCCCTCGAACACACGCCTTGCACTCGCCTCTTATTACGCACCTGAGGGTTTAGGGTTTAGGGCTTTGAATATCGGTTAACCATAGTTCTGCAGCAAACCATGAGAAACCCCATGGGTTTTGTTAAGATTCCTACTGAAACCATGAAATCCTTTCAACACCCATGGGTCTTTAAAGGTTAACGGGGTTATAGGGTATAGGGCGTAGGGCAGGAGAGGAGGAGGAAGGGGACAGGAAGAGGAACGGCAAGATTTTTGTGTTAGAGTATAGGGTTTAAGGGTTAGCGGCTTAGAGTTGAGGTTCAAGGGTTTAAGTTTGGGCTTCTAAAGCGTTTATAAGGTCTGAGGGTTCCAAAGGGCTTTCAAAGCTTATACAGCGCTTATAAAGGGCTTCTAAGGGTTTCTTATCAGGGCTTGTCAAGCCTGTGGAGTTATACAGGGCTTACACGGGGGGCTCTTGTAAGCTTCGAAGGGTTTGATTGGCGTTGTAAGGCTTTTAAGAAAGGCTTCTGAGGCTTTGAAGCGCTTTGTTTTAGAGGTCGAAGGGCTTGAGCTCAAAGTCTCAACCCAAAACGCTGTTTCGGTTTCATTGCCCGGCTGGTTTCCGTTGCAACAGGGTTGCAACAACGGTATTCTTTCAAGACTTGTTCTCAACCCTCAAAACAAAAGACGGCAGCCGGCAATCAAAGCCTGGGGATGCAACAATTATCAAACCTCCTTTCCATCCCATTCAGGGAAGCAGAATATCGCAGGGCGAATCGGAAGGATCTGTGAGTCGTGCCCAAACACGCCAAACACCCTGTAAAACAAAGAGAGCGAGGCGTTGCATAATCGCACCGACATTGTCAACACTGTTACATAAGAGCGATTTCGAAAGTTTCCCCGAGGCAACTTGTCCGACAACACCGCAACTACCAGTGAGAACAGCTCAGCCACCAGATATGTAGACAGATTTTCAAAAACGGGTTCTTCGAAGCTCGAGAAGACACAACGAGACGGAAGGGCAAGTCCAGAGTACTGACCATCTTCAGGCGGCATCGGGCTTCTAGGAGCCCATGGGCAACATGGTTGTAAGTCTGATTGTTTATCGTTGAGTCACTCCCAACTTCTCTTCAGAAACATCAGGCTCAAACTTGTAGAGTCGTGAAGCTCTGATCCAATGGTCCAAGCAGCAAAGGATACCAGGAACAAAGTGAAAGTAGCAGACGCCTTGAAAAGCTACGTGGGGAGCGAATAGAGGCAAGATGGGTGAACAAGGAGGCAATTAAGGATCCCACAGCCGAAAGCACCATGCCGACTCGCCACACCAGAAGTGAAAGGGAGACCAGAAGAGAGACAATAACAGGCGTGTGTCCAGCAATCGACACCACCGCCACCGCCGCCATCGCCACTGCCGCCACCGCCGCCACCGCCACCACCACGACCACCACAGCCGCCAAACTTCAAGGTGCGTGCCGGTGTCCTCCTCAGATGTGGCAGATGCTGTGGAACAGAGCAGACGAGTCGCAGTTCAGCTGTTGAGACATGGTTGGAAATGCATAGCATTGCGAACAGTGACAATGGCAAGGAGTGCTTTAGACTGTCGCAAGTTCCAGGAGCAGCTTCAGTGGATGGTGAGGACACTGACTAGCGCAACAGTGGTGTGCGCGGTTGCGAGTGTGGCCGACTGTTTACAGTCTTTGCTGCTCTACTTGTCGATGGTTTGGCTGAGGACCCGGGACAGCAGCGACCTAGTCGTGGAGGTGGATACTTTGCTCTAACATGACCTGTCTTGCATTGAGTCGACCGTGTGGTTGCAGGAAAGTTCAGGAGGTGCCGCCTGGCTGGATGCCTCTGCCAGCGACAGTCCTGGCCACACCCTTGGCCGTGGCACGTTCCAGAGAAGTGCAGAGAAGCGACCAGAACTGAGGTAAGATGTGGGGCCTTTCCACGTCTGCGCTGGATGCTCCGACTCTCCGATGGGGTTGGGACCTTTGAGTGCTCTGAGACTCTGACTATAACTTCTCAACGGTGCTTTCGGGCTTCAGGAGAGCTGCTGCCTTTCTACATCACGTGGCCGGGCTGGAATGGCTGGACACAGCTTGACGTGGACGTTGCAGAAGCCAAGCGCGACTGGCCAACTCGAACACTGAGGCTGAATACGGCTTATGTTACGGTTCTTCCCATTCAGGTGCCGTAGCTCGTCTGCATATTTCTGCATGAAATTCGAGTGCCGGCGCAGCCTACATTTCGAGTCTGCGGGGTTGGACGTTCGGAATTTTCAAGGTTTGACTTGTCCACGCCGATGCGGTTTACCGCTCCGCTTGGCTGGATCTGGGAACCTGCCGTGGTGGCGAGCGGCTTCTGGCAGGAGTTCAGAGGGGCTTCTGTATTGGGGCAGAACGATGAGACTCGGTGCAGGACGCTGCCTTTGGCTCCACAGCAGCTTTGCCTGGGAACGTGGCTTGACAGACACCTCAGCATTTGCTACTCCGCCTCCGCCTCCTCCTCCATTCTCCGTCTCCATCATGTCCAACATGGGTGAGATTCGTCTGCTGACTGTAGCAGCTCTGCCTCTACACTTGCGCATGTCATGCTGAGGCAGTGCCTACGGTCTCCGACGACATTTTCCTTTCATGGACAACGCATCTTGGATCGTCTTAGGACGAACGGGGGTGCTTGTTCTGTGCTCTGGGTCAGACCTGACTTCTAGGCCTATGGCCTTCGTGAGTGGCGAGATTTACGGCTTTCGAGTCCCTGTCCGAGTGCCCAGATGGCCTTCAACAGGAGCGAAGAAAACGACTTCTTTGGGAGACTGCTTTGGTTCTGCTTCACATGCAGGCGAAGTACAGGGGTTGCGTAGCCAGATAGGAAAGCTGGGCATGTTGTGTGGCAGAACTGAGACGAAAAGGAGCGCAAGTGAAAGTAGCGGAGTCCGCTAGTCCGTCCGCAGGAGCTGATTTCCTCCTTGAGCTCGGCAACTGGAGTGGGACTGCTGATGCCGGGCAGCGGCCGCTGGCAGCCCTTCGGCCGACACCAGTTGGGCGGCGCTTGTTGGCGAGCCATATATACTTCGGGGTGATGACTGCAGATCACTTCTTCAAAGATGAACCGATAGTCTCAACAGCAAAACAAGCGAAGGTTTTGCTCCCGGGACCTTCGCTAAGCGCAGCGTCTCATCTGCAGTATGAGAACATGCTTAATGTCTGCGTGACAGAACTCGACGCCAAGGTGCGAGGGGCATGGGTTGACTATGTCACAGGACGAGTTGGAGAACAACATGGAGCCGCCTGGTTGCTTTTTAAGCACAAGCTGTTGCTGCCGGAATCTGTTCGCATAGTGGTCGGAAGGCAAGTCTCAAGTCCTCCTTTGTGCCTTCGCTGTACGCCCGCAAGGGTTTGCAAATCAGACGCTGAGGTGCGGGTACAGCTCACAACGACGACGCCAATTTTTGCCGGAGGCGGTTTCATCTTCGAGGCATCGGCACACGGCAGGTGAGGTCTAGCCAGGATTTTCCTAAGGGTCGGGGGTGCAGCATCTTGGTGTAGGTTGATGTGTTTTGGTCATGGGCCGCGGTGCTACTTCCGTTCGAAGATGTCAGTGCTCTGGGTCTGCCGGCACTGGAAAAGAACTTGACGGTACGCAAGAAGATGGCGTTGTCTGTCATAGATGAGCCAATTATCTGCTGCTTCGGGAATGACGCGCAGGGCGGTGTTGCGACGAGGCGGTTGCGTTGCAGCTGCCCTGGCACAACAGGCATCACGGGGTCTGGTGCGGGAGGTGGTCACTGCCGGTGCTGTGAAGTTGATGGTAGGTGTGGTGGTTTGCGGAAGGGTGTGTGTGTGTGTGCCATGAGCCTCAAGCAGTCCTGTCAGCTTGTGCAGATGGCTACACCTGCGCCGTGCAGAGCCTGTTCTCGGGCGAAATCCTGCTTAGAATTGTGTCCACGAGGCCTTCGGCCGAAGTGTTCAGATTAGGAGCCGTCCCTTTAGTATCTGCCAGAGCCCGTTCCATGAGCTTGGTTTGCTGGTCATGACATGAAGCTTCAGGGGGTTGCTGGCAAGCCCGATAGCAACAGATGACACACCTGTCGACACGGTGGTGTACTATCGAGACCTATCGGAACAGTATGCAGCATGCAGGCTGAATGTTTCTGCTTGTATTGGTAGTCTTGCTGCACCATTCATGCACGGAATGTTGCTAAAGACTGCATGGCCAGGGCGCTCCTCGCTGGGACCTACTCCTTCCCCTTCCTCTGCACGAACCCACCCAACGCTGTACCTGCAGGCGGGCGTACTCACAACTCACAACAACGTTATCAAAGGTTGATACTGATTCGGCTTGAACGACCACTGTTCTGCTGCTTCTGCGGAAGCGGCCATCCTGGGTCCATACTTCGGCACAGCCCGGAGCCCCGTGCCCGTGTGATATTCTTCATTACTGTTAGACTCTTCCAGCTTACTGCGCTTTCTTGAGATCCGCTATACTCGCTGTTCTTGCGGTGCTCGTGCATGTGTTGTATTGAAACACCGCTATGAGTGCAGCTTCTTTTTGCTTCGCTCAGCGTCCCGGCCTCTGCAGGCTCTTGGAGGTTCGCCACGTATCAAGACCCGGAAAACTATCCGGATGCCACTGAGGCTTGGACACGACGTTAGTGAAGACGGCCATGGCCATGTAGAGGAAATCCGTCAGGTGGACACTCCATCCACAGTGCCAGGATTTGCCGTTCAGGCTGGTGACCTTTCAAGTTTATGCCCATAGGCTGAGTTTTTTCCACCGGCTCCTGTGTTGCTGGTGCAGGAGGCCTTGCAGCATTTCGAGCGGCTTCCAGCCGCGATCACTTGGTCCTTCGATCCACGTCCCCTCAGGTTGCATTGACCATCATTTTGCCGTAGCACGCATGACTCAGCATGACTGCGTCGTGGCCACACAGGGACAGCTCTACCATCCTGGCCTTTACTCTACCCGGGAACGGTGTGCTTCCCAGTAGTGCGCGGCTGCGCGGCCCGGAGGCCCGGCTTGCCGTGCAGAAATCCCGTGCCAGCCCCCGCAAATTTCCTGTTCGTGCAGGTCCGGTCTGTCCAGACGTTTCTGCATACTCGGTTTGAACTTCTGGTAAGAAAATCATGACAGGGAGGGTGACTACTTCAGCGATTCCTAGTGTGTCTGTGTGTAAGATCTGGACATGGTGGCGCATCTATTCAGCTGTATTGTGTGGTTCCAGGCATCTCGGACAAGTGTCATAAAGCTGGCTTGAGGAGTAGTTGGGAAGGCCTGGCAATGGGCAGGGGATGAAGCTGAAGCTGCACTGCCTGCCGCAAATCGTTGTTGACCTTGGGCAAGTCTTCCAACTGGATGCGTGGTGCTCAGGACATTCGGCTTTCACTGGGATTTACAGGTTCGCCCGTGTCGAGGTCTCGCTAGCGGCCAACTACTCACAGCTTCCGGATTTGCCGGAGCCCTGTGGAACACAGCTTCGCCTGTGGCCTTCGATTCGTCTGTATGTTTTGGGTCACTGTTGGCAAGTCCGCTTTGCCCCTCCACGAACGTCGGGCCCAGAAAGACAGCCCGGTCGATTGTAGCTTTGTGGTCTCTCATGGACGCAGATCTTGCGTTGACAGGGCAGCAGCAGTCTGGCAGCGCATCCATGAATGACCTGAATAGCTAAAGTATCAGACGGTGGACAAGCGACGATTTGTTGTGTCGTGGTTGTGAAAACTTGAAGGGTTTGTCACGAGCCAGCTACACGAGACCATGAAATGAGAGCTGGAAACCATGGCTGGCACCGAGTTGCAGCGCGTAGTTGACGAGGACGGGGCACTTGGACTCGCATGGAGCATGCCTCAAATGTCGACCCACGCCAGGATGATGATGGACCCCGACCTGCTCGAAACAGGATTGTGGCTTTTTGCATCCAGCCATTCAGACACCCGATGAGCACAGGAGCACGCTTTGGGACTGGAACAAAATATGTGGCTTTGATGCAATGCACGAGTTTGTTTTGACTCGGCGCAGTGAGATGGAGATGCTTGTTCCTGGCAATGAGGTGCTTACCATACCAACAGAGCCACTCTTTTGCATCTTCAGTCTGAAGTTGAGAGAAAGCTACGAAAGTCTGCCATGATGTCAGGGTGTCGTTGTCATTTCTGTCACATCTGTCCGGTTCATGGGAAGCAACTATATACCCTGGCCAGTTCTCGAAGTGCTTCGTCATGTTTCCGCGATCAGATGCGAGGTTGTGCGAATCCAGGATGCAAATCTTGGGTACCTCTATTGGGGCATAGTCACCTTAGAAACTTGACTGCAATATGCTGATGTGGAGGCCGTGCTCTCGATTTGTTGGAAATTCCAGCAGTGCAGGGGGCTTGTGCAAAACGCTTTTTCGCTGAGGTTGTTCTGTACATTCAAATCGTTGTTTTTCACATCGAGGGCAGACACACCTTCCAGGACGCTCTGTGCATGGGTCCTCGGAAATACTGCACGTTCGCCATTGCAGGAACCGGGCTATGGTGCCGTCATCACTAAGTTTGAAGCCAAGAGCTTCAATCAAGATGGCAAGGCCATCAAAGGGTCCCCCGCATCTCTCCAGATTTCGAAGTTGCAAAGTCGACATGATCCGCTCTTCACCTCCAGGCTTTTGATGAAGTCGACCTGCGACATCCAGTCATTGAGCCTTCGGGCGCCTTCATCATGACCCGCAGAATTACGATGAAGGCACGTCCGTACCACTCGCCTGACGAGACCATTGCCGTTTGTTCCCGAACTGTCATGCAAGCAGGTTCTTATGACCACGGAAAGAACGAATCACATATCAAACAATGTTTCAGGAGCTTTTCCCCGGGAGTTGAAAGCTCCACCTCAAACTGTCCGGCATGTTGTGACATGGGTATGGGCAAGCACGACGAATGCCGTTCGTTGCTCGCGGCCCCCCCCGAATACATGATGGAGCATTAGCACAGCTCGGATAGATACTCCGACGCAGATCCACGTGAAAGAGGTGCATCAATCGATGTCATCTGGCTTGAGGCTGCAACAGGAGTTTCTGGTTGCCTGTCGGTGCAACTCAATGAGAAAGGCAGAACGCAATTACGAAGGCATTAGCAGCTAGCAAGAAACTTCCATCAGGATATGAAACTTTGAACCCACTGCAAGTCTCACAGCGACACCTTTTGCGGAGATTTGTGGTGTCCGCATCAACTTCTGTGGCCTGGCCTGTACTCCGTGCTCCGTGTATTTCCGGATGCGAGGCGAGTGTTGACAGCTAAGCCGCTAGGATCCCCTACGACCGCTAGGATTCCAGGTAAAGGGACTTGCATGAAAACCCAGGTGGGTCCAACTCTCGTCCTACCGCACTAAGCTGCAGTATTAGGAAGTTTGAGTGCATGACATCAGAAGTGTTATGCCAGGGGCAAGCGTGCCTTGGCTGAAAAACGGATCGGCTTCAGACACGAACGTGTTTGATGCGTGGTTCGCGGACGACATCTGTAAGGATGGGCACCTGCATCGACTCGGACAGCCCGCAGAAGTGTCCGTGTGGTTCCCGAGCAGCATTAGCTATCATTAGCTGTCGCTGCAGACCTTTTTTTGGACCCGAGTGGCGCCAGGCGTTAGGTGACTATAGGGGTCAGACCTTCACAGTTTCGTCTGTCGCATACGTCTCGATTCGGGTCAGATACAAAACAAGGAGACCATGCCACTTGTGGCGGCGACGGCTACTGCCAGGCCCCTGACTTGCAACCCATTTATGTCCAAACATACATCGACTATTTTGAAGCCTGTGTGCTGATGCTCGGCGTCACGTGCTGGGGTGCTTTGCATGTCATGCACAGGTGAAAACCTGGTGCCCCAGCTTGGGAGATCACAACGTGGCGAACCCTCCTCCAGGGGCTGTTGTCGAGGCTCCGGCGGACACTTCCAGAATCCTAGAAGCCTGGAGACATTGTGCAATCTTCTCAGGACATTTTCGGTCTGGAGCAGCTTTGCCCGCAAGCAGAAACGTAATGAAACGGCTCAAGTTTGGTGGTGATGCGAGCACATGTGATTCGGAACACGTGTGACACTGGCGATGTTTATCACTGGTCATGCACGGAGGCACGTGCTTCACTCGCGACCCGAACACGGACGATTCCAGTACCGAAAACCATGTTTAACCCGTGCAACACCGCCCGGTGTCTCCTTCAGGATTTCGGATAGTGCGGCCACCTTTTGTGCTGTTGTTGCCTACCCTCCATTTCGTCGTGAGTTTTCTTTCTACCACTCATCTACTTGTTGGATTTCGTTCTTTTGACCTGTCTACCCTACATCCTTTTTGGAGTTTAGTCGAGTTTTAGAAGCATCATATCCTGGCTCAGACTTTTCACTGCCGAGCCTCCATCCCCTGGAAACTAGGGTTTCGGGTATTCGAATCCGTACCGCCTTTTTTTCCTTCCACGTCTTAGGATCTATTCCGGACCCCTTCGGCCTCGTCATTCAGCTGTCGTTGCCGTCGCTCGCTCGTGTATGTTCGTGTCCGAATCTAGCATGCACGAATCCTACTTCCATGTGCGAATCCTTTGTGCGCGATTTTGTCGCGCTCGTGTGCGAATCGTTTCCGCGCACAGCACTGCGGGAATCCATGTTGCCCGCCAGTTCGCGAGGCGCGCCAATCGACCGTGCGCGAATCCGCTGCCGTAGTTCGAATCCTCGTTACCAGAATCCATGGACAGAGCGCTGGAAGCTCTTGCGGGGGAACCTTCTTTTCAGATTTCCTGAGGGAAGCGTTGCTGATGATCGTGGCCGGCATCGGCTTCCCCAGCATAGTGGCACACTCAGCATCGGGCGCTCCAAAGGGAGTCCAAGCTTTTAACATAGTTTTGAAGGGTGCACAGTTGTTGTACAGGGACGTTGTTACAGGTATCGGCATTCAGGGGTCTTGCCTCGCCCAGGGTGCCAAGTTTCACGTGGCTGGCTCTTCCCCAGGTTCGTTTTTTTGCAGTCTCTGATCTGATTGTTGCTTTAGCGAATATGCCAGACTCCAGCGACCTTCACAAGCGCATCACGCTCCTCCAACTTCTCGAGCTTGCAGACCCGCCGCTGAAGTTGGAGGACCCGTAATGTCCTGATCGTGACGACGAGATGCCATGTGTTATAGCTGAATCTGACCTGCCGATTGCTAACCGGCTAAAAGCTGCGGCGTAATCTTCAGATATCTTCAGCGGCAATCGGGACCGCAGGCGAACCGCCGTGTTGCACAAACCCTGAGCTTCAGGATGTTTCCAAGTCTGGGTGCGTCATTGCAGTGCCTCGGACTGGGGATTATTTGCGGCCTTTCTTCGGTCGAAGCCTATGCCCATCAGTTGTATGCAGAAGCCTTTGCTTTCTGAATTCTGCAGCAGCGAACGGTGTGCTAGCTGAAGATTTCTGTATTCATTGATGAATCTACTTTATGTTAAGTCAGGTGAACTTCTTCTGGAGCTGCGATTTCAGCTGGAGCAACAGCTGCGAGCCTAAGATGAGCGTCAAGCGCGCCAGCCACCTACAACGTCCTTTGCTCCATGCAAAGACGTCACGGAAGCCGGACGGTTGCAAGGTCGATGATGGCACTGGCTTCGTCCAGAAGCGCAGCAAGAAGCAGACTGTGAACGGTGTCGAGACAAGGACAGAGAGTGCAATTCATAAGCTGCTTGTAGCTGTGGTCCTGAGTTTGTTTGCATGCGACAGGGATGCCCAATACATGTACGGCTTGCGCCTTATCGTGGACTCGTCTGGGATTGGTCGCCAGATCAGCCTGGCTTCTCGGCTGCAATTTCGAAGTTTCCTTCAGGGCAGCCTGGGCCAAAACTAATCGCAGGTCCCTATCGTCATCCAGCTGGGTTCCTGCCTGGCCCTGGTGCAGATCGCGTGCCGTGGCTGCAGTTGCAATATTTGCATAGCAGCTTCCAGCTCTGCCGGGCATATGCTGCGACGTTCATGAACATGTTCTTCGTCCGCCATTCTTCGACAGAACGGATCTGTCAGGTCCAGAGGCAATCGTGGTCTAATGCTTGCTACGGCTAGTTCAGTCCGCCGAACTGTCAAAAGCCTCAAGGTCAATGGCAGCAGATTTCCTCATGGTGCGGATGTACGACAAGGAGCATGCGCTAGAATCCGGCTGGAAGTCGGTGACGTTCGGGAGAAGCGATCCCGGCAGGATCGCTGCGAGGCCTACTACCGCTGCAAGGTGGTGGAGACCAAGGCCGCTCTTCAGAGCTCCCTTGGCGCAAGCGATGCGCTGACTGACTCCTCTTGCCGAGGATTACTCAGAGATGCAGGAGCCGGGCAGCTCTCAAGGGGTCCAGGGATCAGGCCGAGGGCGCTGGCAGAGCTGCGTGAGATCTGCACCAGAGCACCAAGGGGCTACCATGTGCATGCATGCTTCAGCCATAATCGAGCAGAGCTTCCGTTCGGATGGCTGCAGAAGGGGACGAAAGCTCAAGACCACCTTTCCTCAGCTCACTTCACTCAGCGATAAGCAGGAGCGGCTGCATCTGGTTGGCGACCAGCGCAGTCGCGTGCGCCTGCCATTGCCATCGTGCGTGATGCCCCTGTTGTGCTTCCTGCGTTTCATGTCAGGCACGGGAGATGGTAAGCGCTTCCTGTCTGCACGGAGCTCGCGCGCTTTAAGCCGTTCGTATGACTCGAGCCGAGGCAGGCATCATCAGAAGTGGTGGTGCAGGAGCTGGCGTGTCGCTGGGTCTCGGTGCAGGTGGACGAGGCTGGCAACATGATACAAACAACGGGGTCAACGGGGCAAGCTTGTGCTCGCAAACTGGTGTCGCTGGGAGGCAGCATGTCCACAGTTCGCGGGCGAAATGTGCCACGAGGATGAATGCCAGCGATCTAGGCGGCAGATGAGCGCCAAGGATCGCAGGTGCAGCTGCTGAAAGGCTGCCAGATGCGCAGCACCGTCTCGATTCAGCCGGCAGAGATCCGGCTACACTTACACCCTGCTCCAATTCATTGGTTGCCCTTCCTGTGTCCTGCTGTTGTTTGGCTTATCTCGACATCAGCATCACAGCGTTTCAGACAGAGCTGTACATTCCTCGCTTGTTGACTCTAGCGTCCTCGCTGGATCGTTTGCAAAAGATCTCAGCGCAATTGCAGCATCCTTGCCGGTAGGACTGCTATCTAACGTCAAACCTCCAAGTGCTAAGGTTTTCATGTGAAGGACGCGACCACGTGGCAATTATGTCCTGGGAGGCCTTTTCGGTGCATCGGTGCTAAAGACTGGGTTTCAGTGTCCATGACCAGAATCCAGATCAATTTCAAGTCGTGGCATGGCAGCATAGATGAATAATGTCTGTTGCAAGCAGGCCATGCTTGTATAAGTTAACGACAAGATTCGTCTGGGAAAAGGTGAAAGATCCGTGCTTTCGTGGAGGGGTTTGCCTCGGCATCGTGAATCGACGACTCCAAGAGTGCTTGGAAGTTCCTGTGATTCACAGCTGAAGTGGAGGCGCCGCTCCCCCGGAACCAGACATACGCCTTGCGGGTGGAGGCCATTTGTGGCTCCGGTGAAGGCCACCTGGCCTTCTTTTTGCGTCTGAGTGTGGCAGGCCACGAACCCCTTGGTCAGTCCAGACTTCAACGTCTGGACGCTGGAGGCGCGCAGGAACGAGTCTACGAGCCCCGAGTCGCAACCTGCCTAGGTCTATAGGATTCTATAGGCTGCATCTAGGCCCTAGGCCTGGCCCGCACAGGTCGACGGCCTTTCGTCTGCTCAGGTGGGCAAAGGGGCTCTTCAGTGACCAGGGGCAGAGTCGTGAGATCTTGCAGGTGGCAGCCAGCCCTGTGCAGACATTCAGCGATGTACAAGTTGTTTTGGCTTCTCCTTCCACTCGTTTGGGGGGAACCGTTCGGGTCTTGACCTGCTGTAGCTTGGGACGGACAGAGGCCTTCTTCGACTGGCCCTAGGTCGGAAGCACTTTGAGCAACGGTATTCGCATCATTTTCCGACCTTCCGTAACGGCAGCTTGGATGCACAATGAATAAAGAAGCATTGGTCAAGCCACAGCCCACCGTGAATTGTGAATGTAAGTTGGTGATTCTCGAGGCTGAGTCATTTCGAATTACGGCACCGATGCCGTACAACTTCGGGTTCAGCATGCAGTGTGGTGGGATACGCTTCATAGGCCGGAGAGCCATACCAACCCTACGCTTGATTGTTTCGTCAAGTCTTCCTCCGTTGGCAGGGCAAGACCCGGCAAGATCGGACCCGACCTTCACCCAAGCTCTGTCACGATGCGCAGCGTCCAGCCATGGGCTTAGCTGCACCGTTGCGTATCCGCTTGCAACACTGGGATGTCAAACCTGGAAGTGAAAGGCAATACGCTGGAGATCACTTTCCAGGCCGGTTGTTGAGCCTGCAGAAGGTGATGTGGCGATTTTGGACTCTTGTCAAATTGATGTTGGTCATGTTGAGGTGCCCGATGGCATGCTCGCTGGAGCTCTGTACACAGTGGAAGCCGACACTTGCCGAGCACTTTAGGGCAATCATCAAAATGTCCGGCGGTGTCTAGCATGCTGAACCGACATTCGCCAATGCATAGATTGCGAGCGATTTCCCTTGAGCTCAGGATGTCCTGACACCACAGCAGCTTCCTTCCACACCAATGCAGTTCCAGCTTTCGTCCACACTGATTGGTGGAGGATAGATGGTGCAAGAGTTTAGTAGCGATTCGTTTTCGCGGTTGATGACCTAAAGAGCACAAGCTATGCTGACGATGCCATAAACTGGTGGGCAACTCAAGCTCTTCCAGATGCAGTATAATGCACATTGCAAGCCACAGCTGTTGCAGCAGTTTGTCTTTGACTTCACGTAGGATGCATGTCGCCGCGAGGAGTCGGCGATGATGTTTTTGTTGATGAGCCAAGCCTCGCGAGAGGGTTGCTGTATTTTGAGGCGGGCCATCACGCATAACCAGTCTAACCATGTCTGCAGACGTGCATACAGAACGAAGTCCTGACTGTGGTGCTCATGACATGATTCGAAGCGGTCAGTGCATGGAGAGCATCGCGAAGGACGTTTAATTTGCAAGCCCTGCTGCAGAGCACGGCAGGTTATCTCCGTGAGCACGGAGCCACCGAGGTCGGTGTTCTTACTAGTCGAAGATCTTCGTTCAGCTGGTAAGCACGGCATGTGTTGCCCATTGTCATCCTGCCTTGCAGGTCCGGACTGACAGCAGAGGTCCAGATCAAGGTCTCGTTCAGCACGCTGGCCCGGGCCGGCGATCTCATAAGGTGCGGGGCGCTCTGGGTCATGGAGTGGTTGCAGTCGGCAGTGCCGGCTTCAGGCTCATACTGCCTCCCCGGTTCCTTTTCGCCATCAACGAAACCAGTAGCTGTCTGCACCCGAGCTTTGAACGAGCACAGCAAGATGCGAATGAGAGCCCATGCTTAGGCCCGGTCACAGTGACAAGCCCGACGGTTGCGCCGAGTCCACAGCCTCCATCTTGGACTCGGGCTGCCCAGAAGCTCAGAGTGAACTTTCCCAGAACCGCTTCTCAGGTGCTCCTGCCAAGGTGTCCTATCCTGCATGGTCACCCTCCAGGTTCCTTCGAACCAGCACGGTTGATGGTTTGTTGCCGAACTGTCTGAATGCACCGCAGGTTCTGGAAGCCACAACCACGCAAATTCCGCCAAATGCAACGCTGGTCTCCAACACAAGCACGTCCGATCCTTGACCGTGGCACAGCAACAGGCCTAGAGGAAATCCAACGAAACTATCTTGGCTCAGGACGACAACCACCACGTGGGCACCGACCTCAACGCGAAACGAGTTGTGTAAGTTGTGTATTTGCACTGGTGTCGCCTGATGCCTGATTCTTCGGCTCCGCATGTCCGTTTCTGCCTTGGCCGCTGCTCACCGGAGAGGTGCGGACAGTGTCCACGATGCGTTGTGGTAGTCTTTCTTCTGATGGGACCGCTTGTAACACCTTGACGGCTGGGAGGATCACTTATTTTCTTCGCTACGATGTCTGACATGCGAAGTGAAGACAAACCTGGATCTGACTTTGCCCTTACTGAGCTGTCCTTGGTGTCCTGATAAACTGTTGACT